GAGTCAAAATAGGTGGAAAAACTGTACTCCTTTGCCTGTAAAAGGGTAAAACAAGTTTTAGTGCTTCCACTGTTTGTGGTAGGTCGGTCAGAGTATTTTATTTTTAATAATGCCTGAATCTGGGCTGGGGGTATAGCTCAGCAGCGTAAACGCCTACCTGCCAAGGTCCCAAGTTCGATTCCCGGTACTGCAAAAAAAAAAAAAAAAAAAGAATGAATAAATAAATGAAATACAAAAATTACACCGGAATCCTTACAAGCCTGAAAGACCTCCTTGTTTTGGACTCTGCATGAAATTGACCTGCAGCGTGTCCACCTCGATGTACCTGGCCGCTGGGGCGAGAGAGGCGCCGGGCCTGAGCCAGCCCCGCACCGAGGCCCTCAGGGCCCGCCCGTGGCCGAGAGCCCCGCAGGAGAGGCGCGGCGTGGGGGGCTGTGGGCCATCGCTCTGTACCACGCTGCGGGGGAGCTTTTGGATCTGAGATTATTAGCCCTTTGTAATGTGTGCGACTGTTATTTCTTCCCATTTGCCTTTTGTCTTATAATTTTGCCGGCAGTAGTTTTGCCATACGCGTATTTAAAAACTTGTATGTGGGGCCGGGGAGAAAGCTCAGTAGAATAAGCACTTGCCTGGCAAGCAAAGGGTCCTGAGTTCAATCCCTCGACTGCAAAACACCACCAACAACAAACAAACCTCCCCCACACACAAAAAACTAAACACTTTTAAGTGGATATAAAATTTAGAAAAGCCTCGTTCACTGCAGGATTACAGTGTTCTCCTAGAACACTTAGTGTTTTGTTTTCTTAGATTTTTTGTTTAATTTTGAATTTTAGTGTAAAAGAATAAGGCAGAATCCCGACTTTGTTTTTCAATGCTGAGATTACAAGGGTGGGGACTTGCACGCTGGGGCCCCGCTGACGCCACACTGGTACAAGAGCTGACACACAGCGGCGGGAGCAGTCTGACCGGCCCTTGGGGTTCTCCGTGGAATGTGCTCAAATACCAGGCGGTTCCTCGGCTTCAAGACCCGCAGTAGAGGGCTGAGGTTGAGCCTGTGGAGCAGCTGGGACTAGTGCTTGGCCTGGAGGGAACTTTAAAGGATTTTTTCTGGGTTTTGTTTGTTTGGGTTTTTGTATGGTACTGGGAATTGAACTTAGTACCTTGCGCTTGCCAGGCAGGTGCTTATTCTACTGAGCTATCTGCCTGGCCCCAGCTTAAAGTTTTGATAGCAGAAAGGATAAAAAATTACTCCAGGCAAAACAGCCAGAGCAGACATGTGGATATACAAATAAATGGCTGGCAAGACTGAGCTTACGATTCGGCTGTACGTGCACTGACGCGGTTCATATCCTTACCCGCCATGTGGCATGGTGTAGGTCCTGTTAACGTTATTGCTTCATTGGTTTGCAGAAAAGGAAGCTGCTGCAAGCGGCAGTCAGGTAAGGCGTCCGGTGACTCAGGACTGAGGATGTGGAAGGGCTGGGATCTAAACTAATGGCCCGAGAGCATCCCCACCTTGCTGAAGCGAACGTGCCCGATGGGCCGTTCTGGGATGGCAGGTAGCTAGGATGAAGCAGGGCTTGCTTTCTGGGGAAGAAGTAAGAGTGAGGCCAACTGGCTTCGCTTCCGCTAGCAGGATCCCTCCTCCTTGTTTTGTGAAACCTTTGTCCTGAGAAGCAGTTAGTGTACTGCAAGAACGATGTTCTCCTGTAAGTGGAGCCAATATTTGCTTTCTCTGTGAGAATGTATTTCCACTACCTTGTTTGTAGATTTAAATTTTAGTAAATGTAACGGATAGGAACCTTTTATCCTGCGAATAGAGAATCAATTTAATAGATCACTGAATTAAAAATATAACCAAGGCAGTTGAGCAGTATGCCTAGCAGATATAAATGTTCAGTATATGTTGTTTTTTTCCAGCTCTTATCCTGAAGTCTGCACGACTTGGGTTTTAAAGTAGAAATCGATTTGACCCCGCTATTCCCCTCCCGTGTTTATAGTAGTACAACTCATAAGAGATAAAGCTTGGAAGTGGCCAGTGTGTCTGTCAATGAATGAATGGATTAAGAAAATGGGATATTTCTGCCCAGTGAGGTATTACTGTGCTATAAAGAAGGATAAACAACAAAAAGAAGTAGTTTGTGGGAAAATGGATGTACCTTGAGGCGATAATGTTAAGTGAAATAACTCAGACACACAAGCTTAAATACCACATGATTTCTTTCTATGAGAAACCTGAAGTATAGCAAATAACAACTTAAATAGCCATGCAAATAAAAAGCAAAATAAAAGATAATAAGCAGGGCAGCAGATCTTTCACAAATGGAGAGGGAGAGGAGGATAAAGGGACTTAAGGATTAAGATGTGTTCTATCCATATGCCAATCCCCGTAGTGGACATAGCGTACCACAAACATATGCTAATACAAGTATATATTTTTAAAGTAAAATAGATACTGTTGTTGAAATCGCTCAGTAGGGGCTGGAGAGATGGCTCAGTGGTCTAAAGCACCTACTTGAAACAAGCTTGGCAAAGCACAGGGACTGCGGTTTGATCCCCAGCACCACATGCCA